TGGCTGAAATGTAAGCCAGAGCTGGATACTTACCTGCACCAAAAAGCCAAACTCCTTATGATGATGACTTACCGGGCCCTACATGACCTGGCCCCCATTACCTGCCTGACATCACCTTCTACCTCTCCATCCAAGCATCCTTGCAGCTCTTCTACATGCCAGGAACTCTCCCCTGAGTGAGAAGCTCTGTCTGTGCAGAGTATTCTGCATAAGTGTTATTCCCCAAACAGCTATTAGGCTATTTCCCTCTCTCTTTACTTATAAGTCACCTTATTAGTGAAGCCTCCCTAGTGGCCATATCTGAAATTAATCACCAACACTATCCAACATCTCCTAGCTCTCTTCACTGCTTTATTTTTTCTCCTGAAACTTATTCCATCAAACATAATACCTTCCCCAGAAAATGTAAGCTCACTCAAGGTACAAATTTTCATCTGTTTTTACTCTCCACTGTCTTTCAGCACTTAAGACAATGTACATAGCAGGGATTCAACAAATATTTTTGAATGGATGAATGATTATAGAATATAAAACAATGTTTTGTTTTGTTTTTAAAGGCCATGATCATTGGTATTCTAGAAAAGGCATGTTTATTTATTTATCCTGCAGCTCCAAGTATCCTCTGCTACACAGCCAAGTGCCCACACACTGACAGCAGGTGGAGGAGGAGGCCTAGGATAAAGCCCACCTCCCTGGTATGGAACAACAATCCACGGTCTCCTTTGTTAGACCTGCTCATGTCCCTGCCCCTCACATCCAGATATTCAGTTACTGGAGCATACAATGCCCATTCTGCTTAGAACGTCCGCTAGTCCCCTCATCTTCTCCTAGAGCACTCTAAGGCACCCTAAAATCCAGTTTCCTTTCACATCTTCTGTATCTTCCTAACTCTCATTAAATGCTTAATTTCTCCCTCAGTGCTCCAACATGTAGGGATTCCAGCTCCAGTCTGTAAGTACTTCTATGGTAATGCTATTATATCTATGTTAATATCTATGTCCTTTGATTGACACATAGGAGGGGGTGCCTTGAGAGAAGCCATATTTTATTCCATCATCTTAAATGGCTCAACACCCACCATTGAGGTAAACACATTGGAGGTCCTCAATAAATGCCACTGAATGAGCCAAAATGAGAAGCCTAGCGTAAAGAGAAGATAATCCTTCAGCAGGAAGACTCCGAAGATCTAGACCTGAGGCCACCAGATGACCTTGTCCAAACATGTCAGTTTCTTCACCCCAAAACAGATAGAATATCTTCCCAGCCAGGCTCAGGGAGGAGTGGGGCTCAAATTAGAAAACAAAAAAAGTCAAATCCCCTGTAAGATATTTTTATTATCAATATATAGATAGTAGATTTCACTCTCGTTTAACCCTATAATTGATTCAGCTAACACAGAAATAAATGAAGACCAGGTGTGTCTAATGTGATCAACCTCTATTGGTTTACCATATTTAAATGGGAAAATACTGACACAATCCTGTTGTCCAGAAAGAATATTAAGATCCAGGTTATATACTTTCCACTTTAGAAAGAAAGATATGCTATATGTACATAGGACTATAACATTTATTATTCCTTATCATATGGAATAACAGGAAACGTTACATCAATGTTTATGATTTTTCAAGGCAGTCCATACCAGAACTAAGTGCTAGAGTTTATCCGCAGATTTGAATGACAGTTCTGCCACCACGCACTCTTGGAAACTGAAGCACCCCTTGCTTCAGTTTCCATATAAGGTAAAAGCAGATAATAAAGCACCTACCTCTTAGGGTTGATTAAGAAGTTATATGAGATAATACATGTAAAGAGTTAGAATGATGCCTTGCACCTAGTAAGTGCTTAATAAATTTTCGCTGTTGTTAATGGCATCCACGGCTCTTAAAACTTAAACGATTTGCCATATATGTTTCTGTATTGACATCACATTAGTTTAAATGTAATGGGAGTTGAAAATCATATTGCTCAAATCACATCAGGCTGACAAAGTTATCTGTTTTGGTATCTTTGCCCCCTCTCAATCTTGTCTTGAAGGTCCTGTGTCAAACACAACACTTAGCACATACACACAAGCTTCTATAACAAAAGAAGCAGCTGATCTCATCTGCCTTAATGCTCCATTACTTATATCTTCCCTCACCTCTGCAACCCCACCCTGAGATACAACCACAGCATCAGATCAAGTTGGTGTAGTCCAACCAGAAGAGTAACTAATAACCTAATGGCTGAGACCAGATTAGACTAACTGCACTTGATACTGGCTCACTGTCAGGCTACACACTTCCTCCTCTGTCCTCATTCTCGATAAAATGTAGCAGAATTTCTTCACCAACACTATAGTTGAAATGCTAACCACTCCAACTATTTCCCCACTCAGCAGTGAAAGAAGGCAAGCTCCAAAGGAGCAGACACTCTGGGAAAAATGTCCGACCGAAGGATTCTGAAGACCTGAACTCTCATCGGAATGATGCTATCTAATCCTCAATGTTGTGGTATTGCTCCCCAGTGGACCCACTTACAAGGTTTTAAGGCATGATTAAATGGGAAAATAAATTTGAAAAAACATTGGGAAATTTATAAGAATCATATGAAGGAAGTGTAATTCTAACATATGATTACTGGCGTATTTACCTTCCTCCCTATTTACACACTGACCTTGATCCTTGAAGCCATGGCATTGTAAAGATTTCTTTTATCAAAATAAATTATGTTTAAAGAGTAAATATAATTCATCAAAACCATTGGGTTATAAAGGTGAACAATATAAGAGTACATAACAGGTAATTTATGCATTGAAAAATGTTGAATCAGCATAAAAAAGATTTTTATGAAGCAAAAACAATCAACAGAGAAAATTAATGAAGTTAAAATGGATTGCCCAAGCAGAGCATAAAGAAAAAATTAGGTCATATTTTGAGCTCTGTTTCCATTTCAAAGACAATGTAGCAAAAAGTGATCAGTATTCACCACCAGATTGCTCCTACCTGCCATGAGCTTCAAGTTATCTTTAGAGTTCTGAATAAATCTGAGTAATACTGGACAGTGAGACTCTTTTCAAATTCACACAAGATTTCTCCCAATGTTGTCCTGAAATGCTGGTCATGGTTGGTTTGTTTTTGTTTTCCTGTCCTGTCCAACCAAGCATCTCACTCCAGGTGATAAGAAAGCGACTACATGAATCAGAGACTACAATCCAATGAAGAACCAAGAGAGGAAAACAATGACCACAGAAAACAAACCTAACACTTTCTGAGAACCCAAACACTTTACACGGATTATCGCTTTACCTCACAACAACCTTACTGGACAGATACTCTTTCCTCATTCCAGATAGATCATTTAAGGCCTAAAGAGGAAAACTACTTGTTTCAGATGACACTTCTAATAAAGCACTCAACTGCAGTTTAAAACACATCCTATCTGCTCCCAAAGTTGCAGCTTTTACAGCATGCTGCCTCCACCAAGACATCCAAGAGCTCTTCTTCCTTTGAAACTCAAAGGAAGAGGGGATTCCTCAAAGATTTTTAGTACCTCATAGGATTATGTGGCCCAAAGAGAGAATGAAGTGAAAGTAATCTTACATGAGACCAGAGAAGGGTACAGTTAGGACAATAATGTTAGCTGACACTTTCACTGCCAGTAACTAAAAAGGTCACCATCATCTAAAACTCATAGAGCTCGGTATACAAGTAAACAGCCCTTTCAAAACTTAAAGTCAAATTTTCAGATGCAGAAGTTTCTGAATGTGGTAGAAACTAAATAGATGTCAGAGAACACTAGCATTGGTATTTTTCAATAAAACTTGAACAGACTTGTATGCATATGCTGTAAATTATGAGGGCTGTGAAGGGCAGAGGTAACATTTGGGGATCCATGGCAAGAGGAGATAAGAGAAAGGGTCCTCAAACAATAAGCGAGATTAAAGCCAACAATCATTTCTCCCCTCAACCCACTATTCCAACTCATTCAAACAATGTAAAACCAAATATAAAATAAGAAAGAACATGCTCAGATGATGACTCACAGATAATTTCCATTCCAATTTGAATTAAACCAGGTAAGAAAAGTCCACTCTTTAGGAAAACAGATGCTTATACAATTAAAACATTTTCAACAACCAGTCAAGTCTCTTCTTCTGAGAAAATTCTAAAGCTTACTTCTTAAGATCCTTATTTGAACAATAAATTGTTTTATGCAATTTACAAAAAAGAAATTTACCAAAAAAATACAGTCATCTGTAAAGAGCCTAACTGAAACTTATTGGGATTAATTTTTAAAACAAAATGTTTTTCTGTAAGGATACTGTTCTGCTATTACGAAGTAAATTAAAACTAAATTAGGTTTATTCAAAAACTCTGTATAGTAGTAAATTTCTCTCAGCTGGGAGTTAGAAAAGCAATAATCACTTATCTGCAGATAGTTTAAAAAGGTAGTCATCAAAGTTATGCCCTGGCTAGATTAAAGAAGTAAGCTATAACTTGTTGACCCGAGGGGTACCTATCTCAAGAGGGTCACATCACGAATTCACCTTTTCTATCTTATGATGGCCATTGCCAGGATTAAAGCACATTTCTTTCTTTTGTTTTCCCCACCTTTGCCACAGCAATTTTTCTCAGCTGTCAATGATCATCCTAACGGTGAGGGCCTCCGGCATGGTAAGCCCAACTCCAAGGGTGATCACTGCCGCTTCTAAGAAAGGGCAAAGGGAAATAAAGCAGGAAGACAACAGGAAAGAAATACAGAAGAACAGAAGCAGAAGAGGATGTGGAGGAACACTGGGAGGGAGAACTAAATGAGGGGGAGAATAAAAAGATGGCAGACGCGAGAACATAGGCAGGAAAAGTGGAAATGAAAGAAACTAGGGGCAAGAGTTGTATGCACGAGGTGGGATAGGGCTCCCTCCAGCACACTCAAACTACTGGGCTATGAGTTGTCTCCTCCTATCACTTTCTTTCCCATTTGGGGGAACGGAGGAACAACTCCTCCCATGCCATTACCTGAATGAGTTCGTCCAGCTCCGTTGAATTGACGCAGGAATGTTGGGATATGAATGTTTGCTTCTGAATCACAATGGTGGTCCTCTGCGAAATCTCATGAGGCTGCTCCAATGCTTTGAACACGGTGGCTCCGATGATCAGATAGAGGACAACCACCAGGAAAATCGTGGAGACCGTCTTCCATTTCATCACATTAATGGCCGTGTCGCTCTCCACCCGGGAAGCAAGCACTGTGGGTTTCGTGGAGAACGAGAGCCTCGGTTTGGAGTTCTGAGCGGCAGATTTAGGATCCAGCAAGTCAGGTGCCGCCACTGACAACAACAAAGAATGAGGGTTAGGTTGGAGGAGATGAGAGGGGCATTGGTCGGGCTTCCTCTTAAAGGGGTCTGAGAAGGTTGATTGAATTCCGCTTGCTCTCTTGGTGGAAGGAAGCTCTGGAACCCAAACCAGGATTGCTGTCACCAGATCTCAGGACCACATATATGGATTCAAGGAAAAGGGGCTGGATCTGTGCTCTCTGTTGCTATTGGAGTTCCAAATGAGAGTAAACAAAACAAAGCAAAACAAAACTGGAGTCGAACCAAGAAACTTCAAAAAAAGAAAAGAATGCCTGAAGGCTTCCTAATAAATGTCTAAATTTACATCTGTCCACTATGCCAGTCCACAAAGAGATACTGAACTCCTAAGAGTTGATGGTACTTAACTAGATATTTGAATACTTGGAAAGACGGCTCATGGTTATTACTGTTCTCAAGAACTTTATACCACAAGCAAGCATTATAAAGAACATTCTCTATTTTCATTGTAAAATTTATTACAATAAATGAATTGCATTATAAGAGAATTTGTGAGCCAAACATCGTTGCTCAAAAGAAATCATTCATCATTTTCTGGTAAAAATGATGAATGGTGGTAAATAAACTACTCAATGGTCAAATCTTATCTTTTTGCCTGTTCTCCAAAGTGGGTTCCTGATAAAATATTCCCTGTATTTTGTTTTTCAATCTCCAATGTGTTTTACAAATGAAAGTTATTGCTAATCATTGTGTCAATCCTTGACACAACCAAGAGAAGACAAGTACCTTCCTTCTCAAATGTGAACAATATCAAGAAAAAAAATTAAAACTATGGCTCACACCTTAGACTCTACATGCTCTGTTCAAAGCTAATTGCTCCATTAGAGTGGATTTATATGGTTGTCTTACAAATTGCCATATACTCTGAGGTGACTCTAAATTCATTTATTATTTATCACAGCTGTTCAAAATATCATTAATGGCTCTTTTTTTCAAAAATATAAGAGATACTAGACTTCTACTTGCTAAGAGGAAAATAAACCATCTACTACAGAACATTTCATGGAAAGACAACATTGAACTAAAAGGGGTTAATACAATGGCTGAAAAATAAGAGACTTTTAAAAACCACAAACTGAAACAGAATTATCAACTTAAAGTCCATAATTCTACAGATTTCAGTAACCTTGCTGTCATGTATATAATATAAATTATAAAATAATAATCTTATCTAAAACATACTTTTAAGTAAGTATACAAGAAATCTCCATGGAATTGCACTCAAACACCCTACAGGCACCTGAAATTACTTCAGTATGAGAAGCTAATAAAAAATGCCAATTTTCACATGGCTACCTATCTTGCCTTCTTACCTAACACTGTGAGTTAAATGTAGGCTACCATAGTTTTAATTCACAAAATACATCTCTAATTGCCCATCAGAAAGAAGCTTTGCAAACAGAGCTATTTAAAGCACTAGACCTAAGTAGTGTTGTAAAATGATGGCAGATGACAGGACCCTCAACCAGCAAAGCTCCGAATGGATCTGACTTGGAAGAGATGAAATTAAGCTGTGATGAGGTTTCTGTACCCTGGCTCCAAGTGGAGAGTCCATGTACATATCGCTTATTACAGCAATTTCCTAAGGTTCAACCTACTACACAGAGGAATGCACGTTTCTCTCCTGATACATTCACCTGTTCCAAATAAAGCCACAAGCTAGTAGGCACCTTTCAAATATTTATAAAGACAACTTGACTCAAAATTAGCACTGGACATGTATTTAATGCTAACATTAAAAAAAAAAAAAAACTGTTAAAATAGAAGTGCTGATAATAGCTAAAATCACTATCATCTGCAGACTCCCCAGAACCTGCCAGCTGCTTAGTGAGTCTGAGTGAAAAACAAAAGTCATAATTTAAAATTTAGCCATCTTTGGAATAAAAACAACAAAAAAAATCACATAGAAGTTCCACAATATTTCTCTAAACGAAGCTTTCCAAGCCTCTCCTCTTCAGATCTGTGCTATTTGTGATTTTTTACATCAGTGATTTCCACTCTGCAGAACCAGAAAGCACCAAGACTGTTTACCTTGATGACACCAAATCCCAATCTGAAATCCCATTAAGACATTGCCACATTGCATTATATGGTTTGGGGGGAAAGAGACAGATTTTTTTAAAAGATTGTGTGTGTGTGTGTGTGTGTGTGTGTGTGTGTGCGCGCGCGCGCGCGCGCGTGCGCGGGGGCGTGTATATTAACCTAATACATTTCCTGAAGGAGTTTAATTCTTTTAAGCTGTTGCCTTATTTCTTAATTAGCAGAAATATATGTAATATACATTTGGCAGACAGAATGAACAGAAACTGATGAAATATCAAAATAATACTGAAAAAAAAGGAGACTGTTTTCTTTATCTAATACAGGGAACCTCTGGGTTTCCATCTCCACGCCATTCGATGTATGATCAGGGAGAGAAGCTGCCCTTTCCACACACACTCAGCACCGTCACTACCCACTGCCCTCCCCCCAGCTCATCACAGTCTTCTGTTAATCCTGTGCTCCTGTTCTCGCCCGGGTATGTCTTCGCTCCAGCTGCTACTGACCACCGATTAGCAGGGGAAACAAGCTGTTTTCAGCACCACTGCCTGTCCCACCAGGCAATGGGCAACAAGTGTGACCGGGGTCACCATAGGTCCTGCCTGTCCGCTGCTCCCAAGGGCTGACAATCCTTCTCCATGGGAAACTCCCCCAAGGTGTTCCAAACCCATACCTCAGGCAGATGCAAAATCCCCGGACACCGGCGGGAGAGGGGGGAGAAGCAGCCAGGAGAGGATCTGAGCATGGGTTTGCCTCCAAATCCAGATTATGACCCAACACTTAGGACGCGAAGCGAAGATGGGAACCGGCCGCTCGCTGAGAGGGGGCATTTGCAGTCCTCCCAGGACAGGCTGGGGCAGGAGAGCGTGCGGCCAGAAGGGTGGGGGTACGAGGGGTGTCTCACCTCCTGCTCTATAGCCGGGTCTCTCCCGCGAGGCGCTGGGAAGCATGAGGCATGCAGCATTCAAAATGTTTTTTGAAAAAGATGGACTTGAAGCTTTATTTTACAAACACGCCATTGTACTCACTTCTTATTCAGAGACGGGCTGCGCGCTCCGAGCTGCACGGGCAGGCATTTTCCCCGGCTTTGTTTTACAAGGTGGGGAGAGCGGGGCTGGACGCGGGAGGGGGCGGGGGGGAGCGTGAGAAGAAACGAAATCGCGGGAAGGAGGGGACACCGGCGGGCTGGGCAGAGGGCGAGGCGGAGGCCAAGTTGGGCTCGGGCGCCGCCGCCCCCGCGCGCGCCTGCTGCCGGGCCCGGGTCACCCGGAGAGCGCGGGCGACCCGGGTCCCGCGCCTACCCGCCGCCGCCGCCGCCGCCGCCACGCGCTCAGCCCCGGGCTCCTCGCTGGCCCGGCCCCGGCACGGCGCGGCGCGGGGGCGGTGGGTGCAGCCCGGGCTGCCGTGCGCCCCGGCGTCTTTGTGCGCGAGCCTCGCTCAGCCGCTCTTCGCATGTCTTTGTGTGTCTCCCCCGGCAATGCCCTCCGTGCCCCGCGGGGGGTGTGTGGCACGGTCCGGGCGCCCGCGGCTCCGCAGCCGTCCGCTGCTCTCCCTTCCCGGCTCGCTCCGGTCGCCCCTCGCCGGCTCGTTTCCCTCCTTTCGGAACTCCCTCCTCCTGCCTCCTCCCCCTCCCATCTCACCGCCAAGGCTGGCTTCCCCGCACCTCCTCCTAGCCCTACCCTTGCCTGCCTCGCCCCTGCAAGATGCTCCCTCTAAAGACCCCTTCTTCCCGCCTCCGGGGGGCACAACCCCTTGGCTCACCTGCTGCCTCTTCCCCTCTCCGCCCCTTCCACTAACCCCCATCCCCACCCCCCAAAATCCTCACTCTCGCTACCTGGCATCCACACCACACTGGGATGCCTCCTGTCTCCTTCCTGGTCAGGGTGCCGGATGTGAGACCCGGTGTGGGACCAAGCTGTGGGACGCGAGTCGTCGGACCTCTCTGCACGTGGGCATCCTCCTCGCCCTCGTGGCCCTCCAGACTTTTACAGGCAAGTGTCCCCATTGGCACATTAAGACCCCTGGAGTAGGGGCGATAATGAAGACACTGGCTTCTTCCAGTCTAGACCTTAGGGAAGGGCTAGGGAGTCACCAAACACACCACCACTTCACCTCCGAGGGTGCTGGACTTGAGCAGGGCGCTATAATCAGCCAACCGCCCCTGACGGAAAAGGACAGAGAACGCACCTGGAGCCAGGGCGAAGACATCTAAAGCTGCAAAGGAAATGGAAGAAAACCCGGTTCGGTTCTCTCAGAGCAAGACCTCTTTGCTGCGGGCGTAGGTTTCTAAGCGTAGCCGGTGGGAGCTGCAAGGTGGGAGAACTCTGACTCCAGCCTGAACTCAGCGCGCCCCGACCTCCTCCCCATCAACATCCCTGTGTGGCAGGTACCAGACCCTGCCCAGACTCCAAGATCCCGGCGCTGGGACAGCCAAACTCGCGGCCACAGTGGGGCGGAACGGAACCCCTCAAAGAGGGTAGAAAGCCAGGAGATCAGAGGTTGCCGTCGTCGGAATAGGCGAATTCTCTCACAACACATGGGATGTAGCGGAACTTCATTCCGTTTCTGAACTCTCTTCCTTCCCACTTTCTCAGCGGGAATCCCCTGATGATCTCCACTCTCCCACCCCAAATGCTGTTTGCGAGAGTTTTTCTTCCATAACTGCTGCTCCGCAGATTGGAGTATTTTCCCAGTTACAAGAACTTCCTACTGAAAAATATAGACGTAATTGTAGGGGGAAAAAAAAATCTTGTAAATCTTTTGCAAAACTGTGACCCTCATTGATAAAAATGCAATTTTTTTAGATTCCAGAACACATTCAGCACTTCTTTCCCCTATTAAAAAAAAAATCTTCCTAATATCCTTCCTGCTGGAATTCAAACACATTTTTCTCAACTTGTGTGCACAAAAGTAATACAATCAGATGTCCTTTCTAAAAAGTGAATCTGGTCCTCTCACAATCTTTACAAAGTCTCGAGGTCATCTATCATGTGCTTCCTGATCTGGCTACTCTTTTGCACTCTAAGTCTTCCCAGGCAGTCACCTCCCTCACTGCACACCCCCCAACACACATCAACTTTACATGACTAAGGTATTTTATCAGTAAGGTTCTCTGCAGAAATGGAACACATGTACACACACAAATATACATACATACATGTGCGTGTACGTGTATGGGGGTAACAGATTTGTTTTAAGGAATTGACTCAGGATGATGAGGGCTGGCAGGTCCCTCTGAAGTCTACAGGGCAGCTCTGGCAGGATGGAAACTCAAGCAAGATTTGACGCTTCAGTCTTAAGGCAGAATTTCTTCTTTTCCAGGAAATCTGATTTTTTGCTCATAATTTCTTGTGATGTAGGCCCACCAATATTACCTAGACCAATCTCTTTTTTAAGTCAACTGACTGTAAATGCTGAACATGTTTATGAAACACCTTCATGGCAACACTTAGATTCTAGATTCGTGTTTGATTAAATAACTAGCTACTGTAGCCTAGTGAAGTTGACACATACAACTAACCATCACAAGTGTTATCTTGCGAATCTCCATGCTGTCAAGAAATTTCCCTGGAATCCTGGCCAGTCAGGTGTTTTACCATTTGCTTCCCAGGTCAACTTGTCTTTCACTTATCTTTATACTTGTCACATTATGTTTCACTTCTTTAAACTAGATTGTATGCTCAGTGAGGGCATAAACCATATCTCTCTGTTCACCATAATATCTGCAGTAACTAGCATCTGGTGCTAAATACCTGTTGGATAAACATCGGAGTGAAATCGTTATTCCCAGTAAATAGCTGACATTTTCTTATATTCACCTGGTCTCCCTCCAGGTATTTAGAACCAGGGTATATCCTACATACATAAGAAATGAGAGGAATTCACTATCTTCTGAATCATTTTCTATCCTGTCTCAAAAGCTCTTTGTTCTCCAGGTGAAACTGCCTCAAATTGTTGTGAATTTTTCAGTTTTTCCATTTTGTTCTGCAGCTTGATGATTCTTTTTTATCCCCCCTCTGATTTTTCTGCAAATTTAACCACATCTTGCCCAGCACTGGTCCTCTGTCGAACTGGCTAATGCTTACTAGACTGGGAGATTAATAGTTCAAATATGCCCGTTTAATAGTTTAAATGTGTTTTGCTATACGCTTACACAGTGCTTCCATTTTCCCAGATTCATAGAACTTAGGTCGCACCATGAATCCCAAATGCTGGATTGCCAACTTTCCCCTTTTCCCTGTCAATTCATATGATAGACTGTCCTTCACATCCCCCTTTGTATTATTTTCACATTAGTTCCCACATTCATGTAGGGTGCTTGGGGGTTAGGGGGGAAGTGATGTACCTTGCAGAGATGTTAAGATAAGATAAAAAGATAAAATTCCAGACTGTAACATTGGCAGGAATCATTCCAATAAGGCAAAGGCTCAGCCTCACAAATAATTTGAAAGAATCAAAAAACCACCTAGTACTCGCATAGCCCCATCTTTAAACACTCTGCCCCCTTTAAAAGCCCTCTTGTTCCAAATGTAGACTTACTCATGGCATCTGAAGTAAGAGGGGGGAAAAAAGGTAGTAGACTAGTTTGTATGTCATTCCAACTGGAGGAACAAGGAAATAGGATAGTTTGTCCTCTTTAGCTTTATTACAACATCACTCAATGATATGGTTTGGATTTATGTCTCCGCCCAAATCTCAAGTTAAATTGTAATCTCCAATGTTGGGGGATGGGCCTGGTGGGAGGTGATGGGGATCATGGGGGCAGACGTTCCCCTTGCCATTCTCCTGATAGTGACGTCTCATGAGATCTGGTTGTTTAAAACTATGTAAGCACTTTTAGTATCTGCAGTAACTAGCATCTGCTACTAAATATGTGTTTGATAAATACTTGAGTGAACTCATTCCTTCGCTCTCTTCCTCCTGCTACAGTCATATAAGATGTGCCTGCTTTCCCTTCACCTTCTGCCATAATTGTAAGTTTCCTGAGGTCTTCCCAACCATGTGGCCTGTACAGCCTGAAGAACTGTGAATCAATTCAACCTCTTTGCTTCATAAATTATCCAGTCTCAGATAGTTCTTTACAGCAATGCAAGAATGGACTAATTCACTCAATATATATAAACTCCATCAAAAGTGTAATAGAAAGAAAAAATTGACTATATTTCTTTTATGCTGCAGGACTACTCAACACCTCTTAACTTTAATAAATAAGAAAACCCAAGATATTTAATTTTAAAAATTAGCTCTCCAAAGTTCCATACTGCCCTTATTCTGGAGCTTTCAAATCTATTGTTCTACTCCAACTAGCAGCATGAAATCTACAGGACTTCACTTGTATGTTTATTTTGATTTTTGACCTTAACCTATTCAAAATGTCACAGTGAAAATTAAAATTAAAATTAAAAAATGATCATGTCACTGCCTTTTCTTGTAATTCCAATCATATCTAGGATTTTGGAGTCAAAGAGATGTCTGTGGGTATTCTCCCTCTACCATTTCTGAGTCATGTGAATTTGAAGAAGTTACTTTCTGAACATCAGTTTGCTACTCTATAAAATGGACATAAAACAATGAACTTACAAGAGACTGTTGTAAGAATCAAAGTCAGACAGCATATATGTGCTCACTATGTACATTCCTGAATGTGGGGGCAGTATCCCCCATGCTGTTCTCATGATAATGAGTGGGTCTCTTGAGATCTGATGGTTTATAACCATCTGGCATTTCCCCCACTGGCACTCATTCTTCTGCCACCCTGGAAGAGGTGCCTCCCACCGTGACTGTAAGTTTCCTGAGGCCTCCCCAGCTATGTGGAACTAAGAATTAATTAAAACTCTTTTTTTGTGTGTAAATTACCTAGTCTCAGATATTTCTTCATAGCAGAAACACACAGCAATATCCACTTTCAAGCTTAAAAGTGTGAAGTTCAAAAGTTCTTTTTGTTTGGAATAGCACTACAAATTTTATGTCATTAATACCAATAAAACATTTATTCATTCAGTAAATCAGTACTTATCAAGCACCTACTATGTAGCAGAAAGGGTTTTTTCCAGTATTGGGGGATATAGTAGTAAAAATCCTCATCATAATGGAGTAAACACACTGAGGAAAGAATGAC